AGTCCTTATGTCAGTGTCTCTCGAAGCATTTTTCTGTGACTTGTTGTCTAGTAGATTCCTGAAGAAGAGCTTGTGGAGACAATACTGCCTGATGACAATAGCTCCTTTGTGATTTTCTACCTGAAAATTATCTTGGCTGGATATAAAATTACTATTTACATGTTCTTTTCTTTGATATCTTAAATGTTTTTCCATTGTTTGTTGGAATAAAACATTACTATAAAAAATCAGATGCCAGTCTGATTTTTTTTCCCTTGTAAGTAATTTTTAAAAATCAGTAGTTCTACTGGAATATATTTTGGTGGTGGTCTTTTTTATGTTGTTGCTGGTACACAATGTATACTTTAAAAAAAAAAAATCCTTATTTATTTGAAAGGCAGAGTTACAGAGAGGAAGAGGCAGAGAGAGAGAAAGAGAGAGAGAGAGGTCTTCCATCCACTGGTTCACCCCCTAAATGGCCTCAACAGCCAGAGCTGGGTGGATCTGAACTCAGGAGCTAGGAGCTTCTTCTGGGTCTCTCACGCAGGTCAGGGGCCCAAGCACTTGAGCCATCTTCCACTGCTTTCCCAGGCCATAGCAGAGAGCTAGATTGCAAGTGGAGCAGCTGGGACTTGAACTGGCACCCATATGGGATGCCGGCACTGCAGGCAGCGGTTTTACTCACTATGCCACAGTGCCAGTCCCACAATGTACACTTCTTTTAGAATTTCAGACGTATTTTTAAAAATGTCAGCCATATTTTCTTGAATAGTAATTTTTAGTATTTGGTTTATCTGATTATTTTCTGCTTTAGGGTCTTGAGCTGTATGAATTTTGGCTCTTTTTTAAGATTTATTTATTTATTTATTTGAGAGACAGAGTTACAGAGAGTGAGAGAGATACAAAGGTCCTTCATGGGGCCGGCGCTGTGGCATAGTGGGTAAGGCCGCCACCTACGGCAGCCCGGCTGCTCCACTTCCAATCCAGCTCTCTGCTGTGGCCTGGGAGAGCAGTACAGGATGGCCCAAATCCCTGGGCCCCTGCACCCATGTGGGAGACCCGGAGGAAGCTCCTGGCTCCTGGCTTCAGATCTGCACAGCTCTGGCTGTTGTGGCCATCTGGGGAGTGAACAAGCGGATGGAAGACCTCTCTTTCTCTACCTCCCTTCTCTCTCTGTGTAACTATTAGGAAAAAAAAAAAAAAAAGTCCTCCAACCCGCGGTTTCAGTCCAGCTGCAACGGCCGGAGCTGAGCCAATCTGAAGCCATGAGCCAGGAGCTTCTTCTGGGTCCCCCATAGGGATACAGGGGTCCAAGTACCTGGGCCATCCTCCACTGCTTTCCCAGGCCATAGAGGCAAGCTGGATCAGAAGCTCAGCAGCCAGGAACCGGCACCCATATGGGATACTGGCACTGCAAGCGCTACATCACAGCACCGGCCTGTTTTATAAGAGTCCTTCTGAAGACGCCCAAATATTTATGAATATAATATGGCATTTGGGGTTTCTATTAAGATCATTCCTCAAGAGAAGCAATCATTTAATCTAGGGGTTAAAATATCCTTGTTTGGGGCTGGCACCCTGGCACAGCAGTTAAGCCACTCCCTGCAGCACCAGCATTCCATATGAATGCTGGTTCAAGTCTCAGCTGCTCCACCTTTTTTTTTTTTTAAATTAAAGATTTATTTATCTATTTGAAAGGGAGAGGCCGGCGCCGGGGCTCACTAGGCTAATCCTCCGCCTTGTGGCGCTGGCACACCGGGTTCTAGTGGGGCGCCGGATTCTGTCCCGGTTGCCCCTCTTCCAGGCCAGCTCTCTGCTGTGGCCAGGGAGTGCAAGGGAGGATGGCCCAAGTGCTTGGGCCCTGCACCCCATGGGAGACCAGGATAAGCACCTGGCTCCTGCCATCGGATCAGCCGTGGCGGCCATTGGAGGGTGAACCAACAGCAAAGGAAGACCTTTCTCTCTGTCTCTCTCTCTCTCACTATCCACTCTGCCTGTCAAAAAAATAAATAAATAAAAATAAAAATAAAAAAAATAAAAAATAAAAAAAAAAAGAAAGGAAGAGTTACAGAGAGGCAGACAAAGAGAGAGAAAGAGATCTTCCATCTGCTGGTTCACTTCCCAAGTGGCTGCAATGGTTGGAGCTGGGCCTAACTGAAACCAGGAGCCAGGAGCTTCTTCTGGGTCTCCCACATGGGTGCAGGGGCTCAAGGACCTGGGTCATCTTCCATTGCTTTCCCAGGCCATAGCAGAGAGCTGGATCAGAAATGGAGCAAGCTGGGACTCAAACCAGCACCCATATGGGATGCCGGCACTACAGGAAGTGACCTCACCTGCTATGCCACAGCACTGGCTCCAAGCTGTTCCACTTTTTTTTTTTTTTTTTTTTTTTGTGACAGGCAGAGTGGACAGTGAGAGAGAGAGAGACAGAGAGAAAGGTCTTTCTTTTACCGTTGGTTCAGCCTCCAATGGCCGCCGCAGCCGGCACACCGCGCTGATCTGATGGCAGGAGCCAGGTACTTCTCCTGGTCTCCCATGCGGGTGCAGGGCCCAAGGACTTGGGCCATCCTCCACTGCACTCCCTGGCCACAGCAGAGAGCTGGCCTGGAAGAGGGGCAACTGGGACAGAATCCGGCGCCCCAACTGGGACTAGAACCCGGTGTGCCAGCGCCACAAGGCAGAGGATTAGCCTAGTGAGCCGCGGCGCCAGCCTGTTCCACTTCTGATCCAGCTCTCTGCTAATGTGACCAGGAAAGCAGCAAAAGATGGTCCAAATGCTTGGTCCCCTCTACCCACGTGGGAAACCTGGATGAAGCTTTGGTTTCTAACTTAGCCTGGCTCAGCCCTAGCCATTGCAGTCATTTGGAGAGTGAATCAGCAAATGGAAGATTTCTCACTCTGCCTCTGCCTCTCCCTCTCTGTAACTCTGCCTTTCTGCCTTTCAAAAGTAAGTCTTAAAAAAAAAAAAAAGAAAAGAAAAGAAAAGATACCTTGTCTCTTAATGGAGAACCTGAGTTTGATTTCTACCTCTGACTCCTGACTACCCACCAATGTAGATACCCTGGGAGGCAATGGTGATGGCTGCCACCAGTGTGGGAGACCGAGACAGACTTCTTGGCTCCTGGTTTCAGCTCTACCCAGCCCCAACTATTGTAGACATAAGGAGAGTGAACCAGCAGATAGCAGATCTTTGTGTCTTTCTCTGCTCTTCAAATATTAAAAAAAATAGTAATTTGGAGAAAGAAGTAAACAGGCATATAGATGAAATAACATATGCGGGACCCTCAGATAGTTCATGGAAACGTGTATTACAAGGGTTGGTGGGGCCAGCGCTGTGGCATACAAGGTAAAGCTGCTGCCCATAGTGCTAGCATCTCACATGGGCGCCGGTTCGAGTCCCATCTACTCCACTTCTGATCCAGCTCTCTGCTATGGCCTGGGAAAGCAGTAGAAGATGGCTCAAGTCCTTGGGCCCCTGCACCTGTGTGGAACACCTGGAAGAAGCTCCTGGATCCTGGCTTCAGATCGGTGCAGCTCCAGCTGTTGCAGCAACTTGGGGAGTGAAACAGCTATCTTTCTCTCTGCCTCTAACTCTGCCTTTCAAATAAATAAATAACTATTTAAAGAAAAATAAGGGTTGGCACTGAAGAAGCCATTTGAGAGGCACACATCTCATACTGGAGTGCCTAGGTTCAAGTCCTAGCTCCACTTCCCATTCCAGCTTTCTATTATTACATACTCAGGGAGGCAGCAGGTATTGGCTTGATTACTTGGATCCCTGTCACTCATATGGGAGATTGAACTAAATTCTAGGCTCCTGGTTTCAGCTTCGTCCAGCATTGGGCATCTGGGGAGTGAACCAATAGACAGAAGATCTCCCTCTGTCTGTGTGTCTCTCTCCCTCTCTCTGTCTCTGCACTTCAAATAAATAAAAAATAAAGAAAATGCATATTATGAAAAAACTATGGGTGGGGGACCAGCGCTGTAACACAGTGGGTTAAGCCCTGGTCTGCAGCATTGGCATCCCATATGGGCACTGGTTTGAGTTCCACCTGCTCCCCTTCCAATCCAGCTCTCTGCTATGGCTTGGGAAATCAGTACAAGATGGCCCGAGTCCTTGGGTCCTGCACCCATGTGGGAGACACTGAAGAAGCTCCAGGCTCCTGGCTTCAGATCGGCCCAGCACCAGCTGTTGTGGCCATTTGGGGAGCGATCCAGCAGATGAAAGCCTCTCTCTCTGCATATACTTCTGTAACTCTGCCTTTCAAATAAATAAATCTTTAAAAAAGAAAAAGATAAAGACATATGGATTTAATATTATGATCCATTCATTCAATAAATTTTGGTAATTCATTTTATAATACAACTCTAGATTATGTACTTTTACTCATACAATTTCACTTTATTTCAACCTTTACATTTTCCAGAATATTTTCAAAGCCTTAAAAAAACTTCTGATCAATAATGATAGAATTCTATCCTGATACCATTTTGTAATGTTCAAATATACATAATAAAAGTTATTCTAAGGCCGGCGCCGTGGCTCAATTGGCTAATCCTCCGCCTTGCGGCGCCGGCACACCGGGTTCTAGTCCCGGTTGGGGCGCTGGATTCTGTCCCGGTTGCCCCTCTTCCAGGCCAGCTCTCTGCTATGGCCAGGGAGTGCAGTGGAGGATGGCCCAGGTGCTTGGGCCCTGCACCCCGTGGGAGACCAGGAAAAGCACCTGGCTCCTGGCTCCTGCCAGGATCAGCGCGGTGCGCCGGCTGCAGCGGCGGCCATTGGAGGGTGAACCAACGGCAAAGGAAGACCTTTCTCTCTGTCTCTCTCTCCCACTGTCCACTCTGCCTGTCAAAAAAAAAAAAATGTTCTACCCTAAGAGGCTGAGAGGCTAGCTTAACTTCTTTCTGAATAAGACTCAATCTCAGAATGGCAGATCTGACCCACGAAGGACAACATGATTTCTGGTTCAATGATTCATCCTCATAATCTTAATTAGAGAAAACATGAAAAAAAGACTTACCTGTTTTATGTGCGGATTCATGGCCATTTCAGTTACATTCTTTTTGGTCTCACAGAAAATAATAGCTCTCCCTTCAGACCCACTGTACACCTGAAGGACATCTCCAATGACTGCTGGCCTCTGAGACCAATGGCACTGGATGGCCAGATGCTTTGAACAAAGAAAATGTGAAAGATCTGTTTCATTAAAATTACTGAGAAAGATTTCTTGTAAGCATTTTTCTCTATTTGTTTTGCTTTGTTTTTTAAAGATTTTATGTATTTTATTTGAGAGTTAGAGTCACAGACAGTGAGAGAGAGAGAGAGAAACAGAGAGAAAGGTCTTTCCTCTGTTGGGTCACTCCCCAAATGGCCGCAACAGCCGGAGCTGTGCTGATCCGAAGCCAGGTGCCAGGCGCTTCCTCCCAGTCTCCCATGTGGTTCAGGGACCCAAGCACTTGGGCCATCTTCTACTGCTTTCCCAGGCCACAGCACAGAGCTGGACTGGAAGAGGAGTAGCCAGGACTAGAACTGGCGCCCATATGAGATGCCGGCGCCACAGATGGAGGATTAACCTACTGTGTCACTGCGTCAGCCCCAGCATTTTCTCTATTTGGTCAAGAACCAGCTTTCTTGGGAACCTCAACCTCATTAAAAAATAATATACAAAGTGCCATCCATAGGTAAAAGAATATAGTATATTAAAGCAACAGAATACTACTGAGCATTTAAAATATTGAACCAACTGCTGTTACACAAAACAATGTAGATGAATTTCAAAATTACTGAGTGAATGAAGTCTTATAAAAGAAAGTACATATAGCATGATTCCACTTATATGCACTTCTAGAATAAGCAAAAATCTCTGGTGGAAAAAAATTAGAGAGTGGTTGCTTTAGATGGGTGGGTAGAGGGGAAATCTGACAGGAAAGGACATAAAGGAACTTTTCTAGGATGACTTAAGCATTTAATATCTCGATGAGTTTTTGAGTTACATGTATGAATATAGCAAAATTAAGCAAATGAACACTGAAGATTTTACAATTTGTTGCGCACAAATAGTACTTTTAAAAATTTTATTATATGAATCTCAGACACATTATATAAGTGAAAGGAAATAAGAAATAAATGTACACAAATTATATAACTACATTTATATGAATATCCAGAACAGAAACATCCATAGACAGAAAGCAGACTGGTGGCTGCCAGCAACTAAGAAAAAGAAAAGAGAGGTTGAGGAGACATTGCTTGATAATTGTGGGGTTTCTCTTCAAAGTGATGGAAATGTTTTGGAACTAAATAGAAGTGATGGTTGTAGATCATCAATATACTAGACAATGCCCCATTTTATACTTTAAAATGGTTAGTTTACGTGAATTCTTCCTCAATTTAAAAAATTTTAAATACTGTGCTTTAGTTAAAGACACATATGATAAATAGTTATGGGAAATTATACCAGATTTCTGCAACTGGAAATGAATCAAAATTAAGATGGATATAAGGATAGCTAGATATGTGATAAAAGAAATACAGTAAAATGTTAACAGTAGAATCTATATGGTTGCTAAGAGTGTTCACTGGAACTGGTGCTCTGGCAACAGTGTGTAAAGCTGCCACCTGCAGTGCTGGCATCTCAAATGGCCACCAGTTCAGGACATGGCTGCTCCACTTCTGATGCAGCTCTCTGCTGTGGCCTGGGAAAGTAGAAGATGGTCCAAGTCCTTGGGTCCCTGCACCATGTGGGAGGCCCGGAAGAAGCTCTTGGCTCTTGGCTTCGGATTGGCGCAGCTCCAGCCACTGCAACCATTTGCGGAGTGAAGCAGCAAATCTAAGACTTCTCTCTTTCTCTCTGCCTCTGCCTCTCTGTAACTCTGCCTTTCAAATAAATAAATAAATCTTAAAAAAAAAAAAAAAAGAAAAGAAAAGAAAAAGAAGTGAAGGAGCTGGGACTCCAACCAGTGCCCATAAGGGATTCCAGCATTGCATGCAGTGGCTTTACCTGCTATGCCACAGCACCAACCCCCTCTCACTCTTTCCAATAAAGAAAATGAATCTCTTTAAAAAAAATTTTTTTTTAATTTTATTTATAGTTAGAGATGGAGAGACAGAGAACCATCTTCTGGCTCATTCCCCAAATGGCCATGACAGCCAGAGCTGGACCAGACAAAAGCCAGGAGCTAAGAGCTTCCTCCAGATACCCCATGTAGGTGCAAGGCCCAAGGACTTGGGCCATCCATCTTCTGCTGCTTTCCCAGGCACATTAGCAGGGAGCTGGACAGTAAGTGGAGCAGCCAATGTCCATGCGGGATGATGATGCCACAGGCAGCAGCTTAACCTACTATGTTACAACGGTAACCCCAAAATGAATCTTTTTTTAAAAAAAGTTTCATGATAAAATGTTGGGAAAAAACTTACATTGTACATTTCAAATTTGTGTATTTTAACACAAGTCTCAATAAAACTGTTTTAAAATAAACAGCACATAATGATCATAAAATATCTGAGTAAAGCACAAAGAAATCTAAAAATCATTTGTACCACCTCTGACAAAGTCATGTCTCTTCCCCACCTCAAAACAAACAAACAAACAAACAAAGGAAACCAGAACCAGATCAAGTTCCATAATCTAACCATCAACTCACAGGAAAATAACATAACATGTTAAATAATGCCACAAGGATGAAAATTAGCAAAACTGTAGAAAACTTATAAGACAAATGAGTTTTTTCAACAAAAATTAGAAGGCTTGAGTTCAGTTCCTGGCTTCAGTTCCTGACTACAGCTTCCTAGCAATGCAGGCCACCCACATGGCAGACCCAGATTGAGTTTCTACCTCCAAAGTGCTGCTGGCATTTGGGGAACGAACCAACAGATGGGAGCTCATTCTCTTTCTCTGCCTTTTTAAATAAATAAAAAATTTTAGAAAGTCTTTACTTATCCTTTTACAAATATATACAATCATATGAAGATGAAATGATGATTAAGACTGCTTCAAAAGCAGAGGTAAAGAAGGTACAAGTATATAGAAAAATTGTTAAATTGTTAAATGGGTACTTCATGTTCCTTACACTATTAAATTGCTGTATATGTTTAAAAATGTCCTTAATGACTTTTATTTCCTGAATACAACTTACATTCTTATATACAATTTTCAACCATTACAATATACAAAGCTTCCTTTGGCCATCCTGTATTCTAACAGTCCCCTTTCTTATACATAATCATTATTTGATACTTATTCCTTCAAACTTATGTACATTTACATAAATACCTAAAAAATCCATTTAGTATTTATTTATGTGTTTTTAATAGTGTAACTCTTTTATTTACCAGTCTACAATTTACATTTTATCACTTACTCCAATCACTTTTTATTTTTTTATTTTTTTAATTTTTTGACAGGCAGAGTGGACAGTGAGAGAGAGAGACAGAGAGAAAGGTCTTCCTTTGCCGTTGGTTCACCCTCCAATGGTTGCCACGGCCGGCGTGCTACGGCCGGCACACCGTGTTGATCCGATGGCAGGAGCCAGGTGCTTCTCCTGGTCTCCCATGGGGTGCAGGGCCCAAGGACTTGGGCCATCCTCCACTGCACTCCCTCCCTGGCCACAGCAGAGAGCTGGCCTGGAAGAGGGACAACCGGGACAGAATCCGGTGCCCCGACCAGGACTAGAACCCGGTGTGCCGGCGCCGCAGGCGGAGGATTAGCCTAGTGAGCCGCGGCACCGGCCACTCCAATCACTTTTTAACCACTGTATTGTATTCTGTGGATTAAACTATCATTCATCTAGCCTCCTCACTTTTCCTACACATAAATGTGAGCTATTAAATAGGATAAATGACATAAAAGACATATACCTGACATATATACTGTAAATAATACTTTTTAAAAAAATTATTTATTTATTTGAAAGGCAGAGTTAGAGAGAGGGAGAGAAAGATCCTCCATCCACTGGTTCACCCCCAAAATGGTTGCGGTGGCCGGGGTTGGGCTGATCCAAAGCCATGAGATTCCAGGCTTCCAGCTTCTTCCAGATCAGAAGTAGAGCAGCCAGGACTCGAACTGGCACTCATATGGGATACCAGCACTTCAGGCAGTGGCTTTACCTACTACGCCACAGTGCTAGCCCCTGTAAATAATACTTTTAATTCTTTTTTTTAAACATGCTAGTAGATTTTCATGAATTCAAATTAATCAACCTTTTCCCTTATGGTTTCTAATCATATATTTGGATTAGATTCCTTTTCCTGAGACAGAGTAACTATTCACTCTGTATCTTCCTTAAATTATTTTATGGTTTGATTTTTTTAATTCTTTCAGAATTTTTTGGGGGAAGATCTGAGTTTCTTCACCTATTAAAAAAATTAGAATAGCACTATTCATTTTTAGTTAATATGAATCACCTCTGACACATTCTAAATCCTTTAAGTCTGTCCTGATGGCTGCTTGCTTGCATGTTCTGGCTAGCACTTGCCTGTTCACACTCTTTTTATTTCCTTCTTTATTCTGTTTTGCTCCTCAGTCTCACACTCACTGACAAGAAGCACAGAGAGACTATGCCTGACTAGATATCCAAAACTTAAGTTTAGCTTCAACAAATTTCAAAAGTAAATATCAACTAAAAGCTAGAATCTATCATGCTGGAAAGCTACTTACTTCCACAGTAGTTGCAGCCTTTTGAGTCATTTTTCCAACAAGGTCAACCTGCTCATATCTGGATTTCATGTATTTTTTTGCAACTTTGTACACCCACTGTGGGCAAGTTGCAGAAAAAAGTAAAGTCTGAGGATTGTCTTCAGAATCTTAAATAAACAAAAAGAATTAAAATGTTTTCTTAATAACGCATGATGTAGCCAGCTCTTAAAAGTCTCCCCAAGCTTCAAAGAAATAATCAAAAATTCAAACCTTGGAGTGAATTTTTAACATACAGACTTCACTGCAAGTATTAAAGCTCTCAACTTTCAAAAATGGGAACAATATGAAGAAAACTGAACCCAGAAAGAAGGTGAGGATTTAAGAAGTAACAATGATGAAAGAAATCAGTAAAATGAGTTAGTAAATCTAATTAGTGACTATAAAAAATAACATATGAAAGAAAGCATTGGAAGCTAAGAAATCAGTTAAAGTGTGCTATCATACTTTCTTTTCTCAGGGAGAGAATAAATACCAAATAACTTTAGTTTTCTTAGAATCTCAGGGGACAATGTAATAAAAACTAAGAAATAAAAAAATTCATAAGCTATTTTAGGATCAAAGGACAACTGCTAATGTACTTATTTTGAATTAGGATATACCAGTTTTGTAGGATTCATGGATAATATCTTCAACTTGTTCAGCAAAACCTAAATCTAACATTTGATCCACTTCATCAAGCACAACGTGGCGTAGTTTGGAAAGATCCAACCGGCCGCTCTGCAGATGGTCTTTGATTCGACCAGGTGTCCCAACCAAGATGTCAATACCATTTCGAATATGATTAACTGTGGAAGAAGAGACATGCCAGTAATATGTAAAAAGCAAGCACACACTTTCACATGATTACTTTAGATTTAAGTAGCAGACATCTTCACACTACTGTCATTCATATTTACTCACTCTGGCTTTGATATGATGTTCCACCATAAAAACATGCCACACTGAGTTTCCTAGTTATATCTTTGAAGTCTTTGGCTACTTGGTTTGCCAGTTCCCTTGTTGGAGCCAAAACAAGTACCTGAGCAAGAGTTTAAAAAAAAAAAAAAAAGATACTTTTCTAAAGACTTATGAATGAGAAAACCTTTTTTTTTTTTTTTTTTTTTTTTTTGAAGATTTATTCATTTTGAAAGGTAGAGTCACAGAGAGAGACAGACAGATCTTCCATCCACTGGTTCATTTCCCAGATGGCTGCAACAGTCAGGGCTGGGCCAGGCTGAGGTCAGGAACCAGGAGCTTCTTCTGGGTCTCCCACATGGTTGGCAGGGGCCATCTTCCTCTGCTTTCCCAGCACATTAGCAGGGAGCTGGATAGGAAGTAGAGCAGCCAGGACTTCAGCCAGTGTTCACATGGGATGTTAAGTGCAGCAGGCAGCAGCCTAGCCTACTGCACCACAATGCCAACCCCAAGAAGACTTTTTTAAAGTGGCATTTAAAACTAGAAATCTCTGGCGTGGATGTGCGGCAAAATGGTTAAGTTGCCACTTAGGACATCTACATCTATATTAGAGTGACTGGTTCAAGTCCTGGATACTCTACTTCTGACCCAACTTCCTGATAACGCACACCCTGGAAGGCAGCAGGTGAGGGCTGAAGTACTAAGTCCCCACTATCCATGTGGGAGTCCGGATTGAATCCCAGGTTCCTATCTTCCGCTTGGCCCTACCACACCTATTGTAAGCATTTGGGTAATGAACCAGTGCGAGATCTCCTTATTGCTCTGCCTTCCAAATAAATAAACAAAGCTTAAAAAAAAAAAACCCTAGAATTATCAACATAAATGTACTAACTATTTTAAAACAGCACAATTAGCAACAATAAAAACCACAGCTTAGATCCTCTTATTCTTCCATCATATCTCTTAGTCACTACCCCAGTGAGGTCTCCAAGCTTCTTTTCCTATCTCCCTGTCCTTGTTCCTCCTCAATGCTTACACTGCTTACAATATTAATTTTACTTATTTACTAAAAGGTAAACTCCATGAAGGCAAGGATTGACATCAGGTGGATAACTGTATTACTTCAGATTTAAGTAGCAGACACATCTTCACACTGTCATTCATATTTACTCACTCTGGCTTTGATATGATGTTCCACCATAACAACATGCCACACTGAGTTTCCTGGTTATATCTTTGAAGCTGGAAGTTGAACTTCCAACACAGAAGAGGTATTCAAAAATACTTGTTAAGGCCGGCGCCGTGGTTCACTAGGCTAATCCTCCGCCTTGCGGCATCAGCACACTGGGTTCTAGTCCCGGTCGGGGCACCGGATTCTGTCCCGGTTGCCCCTCTTCCAGGCCAGCTCTCTGCTGTGGCCCAGGAGTGCAGTGGAGGATGGCCCAAGTGTTTGGGCCCTGCACCCACATGGAAGACCAGGAGAAGCACCTGGCTCCTGCCATCGGATCAGCGCAGTGCGCCGGCCGCGGCGGCCATTGGAGGGTGAGCCAACGGCAAAGGAAGACCTTTCTCTCTGTCTTCTCTCTCTCACTGTCCACTCTGCCCTTAACAGTAAAAAAAAAAAAAAAAAATTTTTATTTATAATTAAATGAACAAACGGGGCCGGCACCATGGCTCACTTGGTTAATCCTCCGCTCGTGGCGCCAGCATCCCATACAAGCAATGGGTTCTAGTCCCGGTTGCTCCTCTTCCAGTCCAGCTCTCTGCTATGGCCCGGGAAGGCAGTGGAGGATGGCCCAAGTATTTGGGATCTGCATCCGCATGGGAGACCAGGAGAAAGCACCTGGCTCCTGACTTCGGATGGGCGTAGTTCCAGCCGTAGCAGCCATTTGGGGAGTGAACCAACAAAAGGAAGATCTTTCTCTCTATCTCTCTCTCTCTAACTCTGTCAAAAAAAAAAAAAAAAAAAAAACAACGAATGATCACCATGTGCTAGGTACTTTGCTCTACATGAATTACCTAATTTGATTCTCACAGAAATACCTTTAGGTGGCTTTATTATCCAAATTTTATAGATGAGAAATCTGGGTGTTAGAGAATTTAAAAGACTGGGGCTGGTATTGTGGCGCAGTGGTTTGAGCCACCTCTTGGGATACCTGCAAACCATATCAGAGTGCTGATTCGAGTCCCTTCTACTCTACTTCAAGTCCAGTTCCCTGCACCCAGGAAAGCAGGAAACCATGGCCCAAGTACTAGAGTTCCCATCACCTACATGGTAGATTCAGATGGATTTCCTGGCTCCTGGTTTCAGACTGGCCTGGCCTTAGCTGTTGCAGCCACCGCAGGAGTGAACCAGTGGATGGAAGATTTCTGTCTCTCTCTCTTTCTCTGTTACTCTGCATTTCAAATAAATAAATCCTTTAAATCTCTAGTAACATCATTTACATAAAAGCTTTTTAAGGCAGTGTTGGAATTCTGTCCTATTTCTATAACCTGTGGTCTTTCATAATTTCAGCCAAGAAACAGAACTTCCAAAAAACATTTTCCCTGTAAGCCAACACAACCAACCTCATTTGGGATAGGTGATCCAAGATCCTTACGACCTAATTATATTTATATATGTGAATTTTCTTTCTTTCTTTTTTTAGAGCATATACACTCTATTTATTTATTTGAAAGGAAGAGTTACAGAGAGGCAGAGGCAGAGAGAGAGGTCTTCTATCTGCTGGTTCACACCACAAATGGTCTCAAAGGCCAGAGCTGTGCTGATTATAAGCCAGGAGCCAGGAGCTTCTTCCAGGTCTCCACACAGGTGCAGGGTGCAGGGGCCCAAGTACTTAGCCATCTTATACTGCTTTCCCAGATGATAGCAGAGAGCTGGATTAAAGTGGAGCAGCTGGGTCTTGAATCTGCACTGCAGGCAGCAGCTTTACACTACACCACAGCACCAGCCCCTTGCTTTTATTCTATAATATCATTTAGGAGTCTTTCAAAGAACAAACTACTTTTAATCACATATCTATTCAAATTATGATGCTGGATTTTTTTTGTAATTTGTGAAGAACCTTAAAGCTCATATATGTTCCCAGAAGGTCAAATTTCAGGCTAAAATTTTACTAGTATGCTCAAATAGTTGATTTTTTAAAGATATATATATATATATATACTTTTTTTTGACAGGTAGAGTGGAGTGAGAGAGAGACAGCGAGAAAGGTCTTCATTTTCCATTGGTTCACCCCTCAATGGCCGCTGCGGCCAGCGTACCACACTGATCCAAAGCCAGGAGCCAGGTGCTTCTCCTGGTCTCCCATGGGGTGCAGGGCCCAAGCACTTGGGCCATCCTCCACTGCACTCCCAGGCCACAGCAGAGAGCTGGACAGGAAGAGGAGTGACTGGGACAGAATCCGGTGCCCTGACTGGGACTAGAACCTAGTGTGCCGGCACTGCAGGCGGATGATTAGCCTATTGAACCGCGGCGCCGGCCTAAAGATATATTTGTTTATATATTTATTTGCTTATTTTATTTCAAAGGGGGAGCAACAGAGAAGAATCATATATCCGCTGGTTCACTCCTTAAATGACTTACAACAGCCAGGGCTGGGCCAGGCTACAGCCAGGAGCCAGGAACTCCATCCTGACTTCCCACAAACATAGCAGGGGTACAACTACTTGGACCATCTGCTGCTGCTTTCCTAAGTGCACTGGTAGAATGCTGGATTGGAAGGAGAACAGCAAGCCAGGATGCAAATCATCACTCTACATACAGAATGTTGGCTTTGAAAGCAGAGGTATAATCTGCCACACCACAGTGCCAGCCCTATTAGTTGATTTTACTACCTATAAATTAAGATACATCTCCAGTCCCTCAGTAACCACAAGAACTAACAATAACATTTCTATAATACCCTTTTTTAAAAAAAGATTTGTTTTATTTATTAGAAAGACAGAGTTATAGAGAGAGGTGGAGACAGAGAGGTCTTCCATCTGCTGGTTCACTCCCCAGATGGCTGCAATTGCCAGAGCGGTGTGATCCGAAGCCAGGAGCCAGGAGCCAGGAGCCTCCTCTGTGTCTCCCACATCGGTGCAGGGGCCCAAAGACTTAGGCCATCTTCCACTGCTATCCCAGACCATAGCAGAGAGCTGGATCGGAAGAGTAACAGCCAGGACCAGAACTGGCGCCCATATGGGATGCTGGCACTACAGGCCAGGGCTTTAACCTTCTGTGCCACAGCACCGGCCCCTATAATACCCTTATTAAAAAGTCAACCAATGAAACAAAATATATTGAACATTTATTGAATGACCAAATAAACGAACACTTCTTTAGAAAATTATTCAGGGGAGAAGGAGCTCAGCTTAGCAGACAAGATACCTGTGTTCCACATCAGTGTGCTCGAGTTCGAATCCCAGTTCCAACTCCTGACTCCAGCTTCCCAACAATGCAGACCCTGGGAAAATTGACAGCTCAAGTAATGGGGCACCTGCCAGCCAGGTAGAGATTGGACTGACTTCCTAGCTCCCAGCTTCAGCCCTAGTCTAATTCCAGCTGCTGTGGGTATTTGTGGGAATCAATCAACAGATGGGAGCTTCCTCTCTCTACCTCTTAAATTAAAATTTTTTTCAAATCACTGTTTAAAAGCAAAGTCAGGGGGCCAACATTGTTGGATAGCTGTTAAAGCCACAGCCCTCAATGCTGGCACCCCATACTGGTGCTGGTTCAAAACCTGGATACTCTACTTCCAATCTAACTCCTTGCTAATGCACCTGAGAAAGCAGCTGAGGACAGCCCAAGTGCTTGAGCCCCTGCAACCTCTTGGGAGACCCAGAAGCAGTTCCTGGCCCCTGGCTTCAGAACAGTCCAGCCGAGCCATTTCGGCCATTTGGGGAGTGAACCTTTGGATGGAAGCTCTCTGTCTCTCCCTCTCTCTCTTTCAAATAAATAAATGAATCTTTAAAAAGATAGTAAAGCAAAGGCCAGGACTGAAAAAAGATAAGTCACTAAATGCACTTCTATGAATACTCTTAAAATAAGATATGCTGGTTTCAAAATACATTTATGGGGCCAGCACTGAGGTGTAGTAGGCTAAGATTCCACCTGCAGCACTGGCACACCATATGGGCGCCAGTTCGTATCCTGGCTGCTCCACTTCCAATCCAGCTGTTTGCTAAAGCCTGGAAAAGCAGTGGAAGATGGCCCAAGTCCTTGGTCCCTTGTGTGGGAGAAGAAGCTTCTGGCTCCTGGCTTCAGATCAGCTCAGCTCCAGCCGTTGTGATCATTTGGAGAGTGAACCAGTGGATGGAAGACATTTTTCTCTGTCTCTCCCTATCTGTAACTCTACCTTTCAAATAAATAAATAATTAAAAACAAAACCATAGTTATCAAAGATATATAAAGTTCCATACATATTACATTCATATGAAATAACTACATTACTTTAACTTTGCTTGAAATTTACTTATTTGAAAACCAGCAAATTTTGCTTTAGGACTCAAATTTTTACAATCCGAGGCTGGGACCAGTGCTGTGGCATAGCAGGTAAAGCCACTGCCTGCAGTGCCAGATCCCATATGGGCACAGGTTCGAGTCCCAGCTGCTCCACTTCTGATCCAGCTCTCTGCTATGGCCTGGGAGAGTAGCAGAAGATGGCAGAAGTCCTTGGGCCCCAGACCCGTATGAGAGACCCAGAAAGAAGCTCCTGGCTCCTGGCTTCAGATCAGCCCACCTTTGGACATTGTAGCCATCTGGGGAGTGAACCACCGGATGGAAGACTTCTCACTCTCTTTGTCTCTGCCTCTCTGTAACTCTGCCTTTCAAATAAACAGATAAATCTTTGGGGAAAAAAAAAAAAGGAAAGAAAGAAATTTTTATAATATGCCTCAGGGCTTGTTTGAGAGGAGAAGAGACAGGAGAGAAAGACAGAGAGAAAAAACTCCCCAAATGCGCACAAATGGCTGAGCCAGGTTAAAGTCAGGAGGTGGAAATACAATCCAAGTCTCGATATGGAGAGCAAAAACCCAATTACCTGAACCATCACTGCTGTTTCCACAGGGTCCACATTGGCAGGAAGCTGGAGTCAGAATCCTGAGCTAGGAATGAAACCCAGGTACTCCAATGTGGGACATGGGCATCTTAATCACTAAGCTAAAGGCCTATTCCCAAGGGTTAACTTTAATGTCTTAGGGATACTGGAACTTTAGTTTTTTCAGTATACTTTTTCTTTCCCTTTTAAATACAGGAACATTTAGAACTTTTACTCCCTTATAATGATTACCTTTGGTGAGCGGCTTTTTTTAACCGTTTCTTGATTTCTTTGGAGCCTTTCAATCAAGGGGATGGCAAAAGAGAATGTCTTCCCTGTTCCTGTTCGTGCTTGAGCAATTAAATCTTTTCCTTCATATATGGGGCCAAAGGTCTTAACTTGAATAGGAAAGAGATACGTTACCCCTCGACCTGTAAAGTAAGATTTCATTAAAATATTTAAGACAAAAAAAAATACATTCACTTGAAAAGGACAATCCTGATTCCTCAGTGAATGACTAAAGATACACTACCTAATGACATTTACACTTATTCCTACACCCAAAGGAAATTATTTTAAAATTGGGTTTGGGGGTCAACATGAGTGTTTTTTAAGTATTGGAAGGAATTTCCCTGTTGCTGGGTTCCTGTGTTGAAATCACCTGGAAAAACTGATACCAAGGGAACTATGGTTTCATTTAACTCTACATTTCTGGGCAGGGAGATCTATTATAGCTTCTTCTATTAGTCATTAAAGATTATTAGTCCATATTCTATGCTCCACATCATAAACGTTCCTTTGCTTTAGTTCAATGACATTGCTTCAGAAAAGTAAACCTGTGCTATTATTGTGCTTTCTTTATAAAATTAATCCTCTTCTATCACCTCCCTATACGGTGTTACACATTCATGTCAGAAATATTAAAAATAATGTGTTTGAGTCTTAAAAAATAAATAAAAATAAAAAATAAAGAGTTGGTATGAAACTGGACAAATACATTTACTTTTTAAGGTTCAAAGTAGGTCAGAATACTGAAAAGTCCGACACAAAAGTAACTGTAATTACAAAAGAGCTACTTCTCTGTCTTTTTATATCTGGTTTTGGTTAGAAAAGGCACAAGTGTTTTATAAAATATAGTATTAGATTTTTCAAATGTATATCTGCTAAAATTCACAGTACCTTTCAGAAGCTTTACAGTCTCTTCAGAAATTGAGAAATTGGAGAAAGATCCTTCTTTCTGTTCACGTGTTAGGGTCTGTCAAATGAAATAAAAGTTCTAAATAACATAGCTTACATTTGACTCATTTACCATTTTTAGCTTTACAAATTAGCTAACTGATCAATTTTAGTTAATAACTGCAGATACTGCAGAATTTTTTCAAAAAGATTTAATTATTTGAGAGGGAAAGTGACAGAGAGAGTGTTGGTTCACTCTCCAAATGCCTGCAAGAGACAAGTCTGGACCAGACCCTCCATCTGGGTCTCCTACATGGGTGGTATGAGCCTGAGTACTTGGGCTGTCATCCTCTGCCTTCCTAGACACATTAGCAGGGAGCTGGATTAGAAGCAGAGCAGCCCAATCTCAAACCAGCACTCTGATGGGATGTGGGCATGGGCAAGCAATGGCTTAACCCACTGAGCCACAAGACCAGCCCCTGATATTGTATAAGACATTAAAGGTGTTTAAATTGTTTTGCTATTGTCAAAAACATCACTGTGATAAGAATACTTATTCATGGGGCTGGTGCTATGGCATAGCGGGTAAAGCTACTGCCTGCAGTGCCAGCAGTACAGTACAGGCTGCTCTACTTCCGATCCAGCTCTCTGCTATGACCTAGGAAAGTAGAAGATGGCGCAAGTCTCTGGGCCCCTGCACCCACATGGGAGACCTGGAAGAAGCTCCTGGCTTCGGAACAGCACAGTTCTGGCCACTGTGGTCAATTGTGGAGTGAACCAGCAGATGGAAGACGTCTCTCTCTCTGCCTCTTCTCTCTCTGTGTGTAACTCTGACTTTCAAATAAATAAATAAATAAATCTTTTTTAAAAAAAAAAAAGCATTAAGGAAGTATCACTATGTTCCTAAATCTGTATATATGAAATACATGAAATCTGTATAACCTAAAAAAATTTTAAAGAGTACTTATTCATATAAATCTGCATACCTCATGATCATCTCCTTGGGATAAATTCCTAAAAGAATTACTGAACTCTAATACAATCCAAACAAAATAGTAAACAGTTAAGCCTATTATAATACTAAGTATTGTACCAGGCAAAATCTCAATGAAAAAACAACCTGTAAGTTTTTTCCCACTCTTAGCAATACAGATTTGTAGGGCCTTTTTAGCTCAACTAATATATGTGCTTCCCAACAAACAGCAAACTCACAAATAAAAAACATCATCCTGGCCGGTGCCGCAGCTCACTAGGCTAATCCTCCGCCTAGCGGCGCCGGCACACCGGGTTCTAGTCCCGGTAGGGGCACCGGATTCTGTCCCGGTTGCCCCTCTTCCAGGCCAGCTCTCTGCTGTGGCCAGGGAGTGCAGTGGAGGATGGCCCAGGTGCTTGGGCCCTGCACCCCATGGGAGACCAGGAAAAGCACCTGGCTCCTGGCTCCTGCCATCGGATCAGCGCGGTGCGCCGGCCGCAGCGCGCTGGCTACAGCGGCCATTGGAGGGTGAACCAATGGCAAAAGGAAGACCTTTCTCTCTGTCTCTCTCTCTCACTGTCCACTCTGCCTGTCAAAAAAAAAACAAAAAAACAAAACAAAACAAAAAAAAACACATCATCCTGTAAGGCAGGGATTCGATAGCTTTCCCCAAATCTTCCCAAAGATTATACATTAAGTTCCCATGTATTTAAATGAATAGCAACTGTCAGGTTTAAAGAATATAAAGAACTATTAATTATCAAGAATAAGAATAGCATGAGGTGGGCATTTGCTTGACACAGCTTGGGACTCCCACATTTCACCCTGGAATGCCTGAGTTCAAATTCCAGCTTCCTTCTCTATTCTAGCTTTCTATTCATGTGCAACCTAGAAGGCAGCAGGTGACAGCCCTTACCATCCACATGGTAAACCCAGACAGAGCTCCATGTTTACCAGCTCTGGCCTGGCCCAGCCCCAGCTGTTGCAGGCATTTGGACAATGACCAGCAGCTGGGAGATTTCTCTCTCTCTCTCTCTGCCTTTCGAATATAAAAAAAATTTTATAAAGATTTAGGTGGGCATTGTGGTACAGTGGGTTAGGCTACCCCTTGAGATTCCCAGATCCCATATCTGAACGTCAATTAGAGTCCCAGCTACTCAGCTTCCAATCCAGCTTCATGCTAATGCACCTGAGAGGCAGCAAATGCTAGCCCAAGCTACTTAAGTTCCTACCACTCACACGGGAGAGCAGGAGCTCCTGGCTCCTGGCTTGGGCCTAGTCCAGCCTCAGCTGTGGCCAGCATTTGAGTGAACCCACAAATGGAAGCTCTCTGTCTCCCTCTCTCTGCATTACTCTGCCTTTCTAATAAATAAGTAAATTATTTTAAAAATTAAGAATATCAAAGTTGTTTACTTCTAAAGATCCAAGTAATTTACTGACAATTTATGACACCTAGATAAACCTAGGAACTCTGCTAGGGGAAAACTGCAAAACAGCTTTTGAAATAAATTCTGTCAAGAAAGTATCTTGGGGTGGGCATTTGGCCTAATGATTAAGGTGCCTGCTAAGATGACAGAATCCCGTATCAGAGTGCCTGGATTTGATTCCCAGCTAAAGATCCTAACTTCAGATTCCTGCTAATGCAGATCTGGGAAGCAGCAAGTGATGGCTCAGAGCTGCATTCCTGGATTGGGTCCGCAGTTCCTCACTTTGGCCTCAGCCCATCCCCAACCTTTATGGGCATTTGGGGAGTGAACCAGCAGATCAGACCTCTCTCTCTTTCACTCTGCCTTTCAAATAAACACTTTTTTAAAAAATACAGTTTCAACACTGAGTCACAGTAAGACCTAAAAGATCATTTGTTACTGCTGTTATAGAAGCAGAAAAAGCAGAAGGCAAAATACACAGTCAAGAGGCCTTCTGTACCTTGTTGCAAGAAGTCAGAAGTCAGTTCATAAGTACTGGTAGGAGCTGAAATAACCATAAGAAATGCAAGTTGGTGACCATCAATACAATGTTCAAAAAAACCGTTCAGGATCCGAAATGTACAAGAAAGGTTTACGTTTGGCAACTCTCCCACCCACCCCCAAGGAAAAGGCGAAAACAATGAAAGAAACAGGGCAAAAGGAAAAGGGCTCAGATTTCAGCCAGACTCTGTAGTCCAAATAAGACACTAAGTAGGATATTTTAATCAGCCCTAATTAGCCTAAAAAATCACATCAGCCTTTATTTGAAGGATAATGTTAAAAGCAAAATAAAAAGTATCCTTACCTCCTCTAGTTTATTATCACTTGATTTATGAGCATTGTCCAAGGAGGATACTCGCTTCGATTTTTTTTCATATTTAATATCTCCATTTGGCAGATCTTTTCTTCTTGACTTACGTGATTTAGAAAATTCATCTGAAAGTCTATTAAATCCTTCTTCAGTGTCTCCATTTAGCTTCTCTCTCATTTTAGCTTTTTTGGGCTTGGGAGTATCCAAGTCATCTGCAACACCATTTTCCCTTGTTTCTGATTTCTCATCTGAGTCATAATGGTGCCTTGACTTCCTTCTGTCACTCTGCGGACAAAGAAGCAGAGAAAGGAGGGTCATGGATCTCCTTTAAACGCTCTACAAAAGTCAGAGCATGACTCCCCAAACAATTAAGCTCAATCTGCAGTTACTCTGAAATCCTACCTGGTAGAAATCCACCCTGGTTATTAACATCAAGCTCTAAACTTTGTTACTAATTTTGTCATCTCAACTCTTGCATTCTCAACCCTCAAACTCTCTAATCCCATCATAATATTGAAGGGAAATTAGGGGCCAGCATTGTGGCATGGTGGGTAAAGCCGCCACTTGCAGTGCCGGCATCCCATATGGGCGCCGGTTCGTGTTCTGGCCGCTCTACTTCCAATCCAGTTATCTGCTATGGCCTGGAAAATCAGCGGAAGATGGCCCAAGTCCTTGGGCCTCTGCACCCGTGCAGGAGACCTGGAATAAATTCCTGGCTCCTGGCTTTGAATCGGCCCGACTCAGGCTGTTGTGGCCATTTGGGGAGTCAACCAGCAGATGGAAGACCCCCCCCCCTACCCCCCCCCCCGCCTCTCCATAACTTTGCCTTTCAAATAAATACATAAATCTTTAAAGAAAAAAAAAAGACTGAAGGGAAAATAAAAGTTCTTTCTCAGGAAAAGAATGAGAACCCCAAAATAAAAAAAATAAAAAAAAAACTTCTAACATCTCAAGAGAAAAAAAATTAGTATTTATTGAGTACCTACCCAGCATTGAGTAATGTGTTTTCAGCTTATCTTGTTTAAATCTTCGTAACAACCCTATAAGGGAAGTACAGGTCCATAATCCCTTATCCGAAATTCCGATATCCATTAAGCTCTGAAAACCGAAAGTTTTTTTTTTTTAACTTATATGGAGGCAAAACCTTACCTGACCTCAGCTGATGGCAAAATTTGGCGAGTACTAATGTGAGGCTATTTATAGTCTTTCTTTATCACACCTAGTATGAACGCTCATATTTAATACTAAGGTGTTTGATAACAGGTTGTAGATCCCAAATCCTGCTGGAGTATAACCTTTCTAAAAATCCCCTCAGTTCTGAATTCCAAAATACAGCTAGCTCCAAAGATTTTGGATAAGGGAGAGTGAACCCATGTTACTTTTGCCATTTTACAAAGAGGGAAACAGAAGTTCTCACAAGTTGAGCAACTTGCCAAAGATCCACACGTGGGATTTCCTGCAGAGGCTAGAAATCAAATCTAGTCCTGTATGACTTAAAAGCCTATGTTCTTTTCCTATCAGGCCTTCTCCTGAATTTGGATGATTAACAGAAAAACAAAACTATATAATTCATATAAAACCCTAACTGTTGTACTTCCATGGAAGGACAGTAATCCTGGGAACTTAAATTTTTATTAGTTAATAGAACTTATTTAAAACACACACACACAGGACCAGCGCTGCGGCACAGCGGATTAAAGCCCCAGCCTGCAGCACCAGCAACCCATATGGGCACTGGTTGAGTCCCAGTCGCTCCACTTCCCATTCAGCTCCTTGCTAATGTGCCTGGGAAAGCAGCGGAGGATACCCCAAGTCCTTGGGCCCCTGCACCCACATGGGAGACCCAGAAGAAGCTCCTGGCTCCTGGCTTCAGATCAGATGAGCTCTGCTCGGGTTGTTGCAGCCATTTGGGGAGTGCACCAGCAGATGGAACACCTCTCTCTCTCTCTCTGCAACTCTTTCAAATAAATAAAATAAATTTTAAAAACATAAGAAAATCCTAAACAAAGCAAAAACAAAACAAAAAAACTATTCTGCAACTTTGGTTTTAAAATGCCAAGCTGTTTTTTTTTTTTAATTTTATTTATTTTTTTTACTTGAGAGTCAGAGTTACACAGAGAGAGAAGAGGCAGAGAGAGGTCTTCCATCCGATGGTTCACTCCCCAATTGGCTGCAACGGCTGGAACTGTGCCAATCCAAAGCCAGGAGCCAGGAGCTTCTTCTGGGTCTCCCATGTGGGTGCAGGGGCCCAAGGACTTGGGCCATCTTCTACTGCTTTCCCAGATCATAGCAGAGAGCTGGATGGGAAGTGGCGCAGCTGGCGCCTATATGGCATGCCGGCGCTTCAGGCCAAGGCGTTAACCCGCTGTGCCACAGCGCCAGCCCCCAAACTGGTTGCTTTTTTAAAGATTTATTTATTTATTTAAAAACAGAGTGATAGAGATCGTCCATCCACTGGTTCACTCCCCAAATACTTCCAACAGCTGGGTCTGGGCCAGGCAAAAACAACGAGCCAGGAATTCCATGCATGTTTCCCACATGTGTGGCAGGAACTCAAATGCTTGGGCCATCTTCTGTGCTCCAGGCACATTAGCAGGAAGCTGGATCAGAAGTGGAAGTAGGGAGCCAGTGCTGTGGCGTACATACTAGATAAAGCTGCCGCCTGCGGCACTCTCATCCTATATGGGCGATGCTTCAAGTCCTGGCTGCCTTACTTCTGATCCAGCTCCCTGCTAATGTGCCTGCAGCACAGAAGATGGCCCAGGTGCTTGGGCCCCTGAACCCACAAAGGAGACCCAGAAGAATGTCCTGGCTCCTAGCTTCAAACTGGCCCAGCTCTGGCCATTGCAGCTATTTGGGGAGTGAACCAGCAGATGAAGATTTCTCTCTGTCTCTTCCTCTCTCTATAACTCTTTCAAATAAATAAATAAATCTTAAAAATAAAAAAAAAAAAGTGGCAGGTGGGAGAGGGATCTCACTCCCAACAAGGGATGCAGATGTCCCCGCTGCGCTTTAATTTGCTGGAACACAACACCCACCCCAATGGCCACTATTTTTTTTTTTTTAAGATTTATTTATTTATTTTAAAGGCAGAGTTAGAGAGAGAAAGAGGAAGAGATCTTCCAGGTGCTGGTTCACTTCCCAAACGGCTGCAGCAGCTGGGGCTAGGCTGGGCTGAAGCCAGGAGCTGAGAGCTTCTTCCAGGTCTCTCATTTGGATGCAGGGGTCCAAGTACATGGGTCATCTTCTGCTGTTTTCCCAGATGCATTAGCAGGAGCTAGATCAGGAGTAGCCAGAACTCAAACCAGTACCCATATGGGATGCCAGCGCTGCAGGCTGAGGCTTTACCCACTATGCCACAGCGCCAGCCCTCATCACTGTTTTAATATTTGTAAATCACAAGACATGATTTGGAAATCTAACACTTCTTCAGAATGACTTGGTCAAATGTTCAAAATAAATTAGTAATAGTGATTAGTGGTAGTAAAAACTGTCGTCACCAAAGTCCTCACCGTGATGCACAGAATTTTTAGAGTACTTTACCATACAATATTCTCGTTCATGAAATGGAAACTGCCGTGGAAACTGGACAGCATACTATGTGTGACAACACTTTACAATTACATGTTACATCATTTGATCTTTACTTAACTGCACTAGCCCTCAGCTTTCCAAACCAATAGAGTCTATAGAATAACAAGATTATTTATAGAGCCAGCCTGGGGTTTGAATTGCTCCTGGGCCCTGCACTTCAGGGAGAGGATAAAGCAAGGCAAAGTGAGACTTCTAAGCCCAAGCCCAGCAACGTCCTAGGGTGATGAAATACATTATTCCACATCAGACTCACAACGCTTGACACTTTCAGCTCCCTCGGTTTCCATTATACTCTGTATGTCCTCTCATCCTCTCACCTCTATCACTTCTATGGTCTCTCTCCCTCCTCATTCTATAGTTGGTCCTTTTTAAGTCTCTGCTCTCCAACTATATTTTCACACCATTTTCATTTTCAACACATTCGTCCAGGCTCCTTTCTTCATCTGCATTCCAGTTCTGAGAACCTGTATCTCAGCTCTGTATCTCATATCCAAACCATAGTTATCTTCATCTCAGAATCAGATCACCAGTCTAAGGCTCTACTTCTAGTAGCTGATACTCCAATCCATTTCCAAATTTCTATTTATCTTTCAGAGTTACAGCGGATTCAACAAGTATTTCTGAAGAATTTACAATGTGAAAATCAGCAACTTAGAAGGATACAGTAAAACTTAAGGATTGACAAAGATATAGTTATTTTCCTCAAGAACTCGGGAAATATTTGGGAAAGATATACACAGGAAAAAATGAGATAACTTTACAAGAAACACATAATAAATCCCAATTACATGATAACTACTGGAACAGCCTTCAAAGGGGAGCCTGACAGATACAAGATTTGGATGCAAAAGGAAAAAAGAAGTGTTCCAAGAGGAGCTAAAATTAAAATAACTGCTTAGAGATTCTACTTACACCCTAGTACCTAACTGTGGCAGTGAAATTCAGGGACAGAAAGCAGAATGGTGAATGTCAGGGACAGGAGAAGGGGGGAATTTGAATTAGTATTTAATGGGCAGAGTCTGGGAAAATAAAAAAGTTCTGGAGATAGATGTTGGTGATGGCTGCAAAACTCAATGCCACAGAACTATACACTTAAAAATGGTAAAAGCTGGGGCTGTCGCTGTGGCGTAGTGGGTAAAGCCGCGACCTTTAGTTCCAGCACCCCTATGAGCATCAATTCAAGTCCCAGCTGCTCCACTTCAATCCAGCTCTCTGTTACAGCCTGAAAGATGGCCCAAGTCCTTGGGCCCCTGCACCCACAAGGGAGACCCGGAAGAAGCTCCCACCTGCTGGCTTCGGATCAGCTCAGTTCCAGCTGTTGTAGCCATTTGGGGAGTGAACCAGCAGATGGAAGACCTCTCTCATTCTCTCTGCCTCTGCCTCTCCATAACTTTGCCTTTCAAATAAATAAATAATTTTTTTAAATGGTAAATGTTAAGTTTTGTGTATCCTACAATAAAAGAAACCAGTTGGTAAGTTTACCCTAGTGATATGGCTGGTCAGGTAGGTTCTACTCTCTACCACTTCACAGACTACATCTTATTCTTTTGCCAAATGTCACAGTTCAAATACCGCTACCTTCTCCCACTGCTTTCTTTCTGCAGGTCTGATGTCTCCTGTCAAAATTTTACCTATGCATTTTTCTGCACCTGTACTCCCCTAATTGTTTCGGGACTTGAAGTCTCTACAGGCTCCTTGAGGTGAGGATCATTTCTTACACTTAATTAAAGACCTTCATACTCAACAAAGAGGCTGGTGCAAGTTAGACACAAATAATAAATACCCACGGATTGAATGAGAACACCAATAGTAAGCGCTATTAATAATGCAATCTACACGATCTCCCTCACAGGCAAATCCTGGCAACCCCGGCTTTGATACCATTCCTTAAGCCTCTATAGTTATCAAGGTTTATAAACCTACGCTCGCTGTCCCCAGGATGCTTGCACACAGGACAGGGTGACTGAGAAACAATACATTTCCAAGGGAATCGTTTTTCTTAATCGTCTTCTAAGGTAGCCAACGAGAACCAAACAGGCCTCTCTGCTTAAGAAAGAAGAGCAAAGAAACGGATATCCCGGTGATGGGAGCTTGAGCCTGCCCATCTCGCACACGCTTCGGGCGCCAACAGGAAGGGCTGAAGGAAGGGCCAGCGGAGGCCGAGTCAAAGCCCAGGGCCGCCCTTCTGCAGGGCGGGAGTGTGGCGGTGGGAATGGTCCCGCAGCGACCGCAGAGGGCCGAGGGCCAAGCTCCCGCTCGGATGTGACAGGCCATCATCAGGGACAGCTCCCCTCCCCGCCCAAGCCGGCGCAGCCCCGAAGGAGGCGCGGCCCATCCTCAGCGCACCTTTCGCCTCTGCTTCCTCAGGCTGTCGGGCTCCTCCAAAGGTGCTTCCAGCTCCATAATGTCCCCCCACAGGAGTTTCCCAGGCATTACTGGCCGCCGCCTCCGCCTGCCTCAGGGCGCGGTGGCCACAACCACCTACGGGCAGCGCCAGCGAAAAAGGAAACGGGGGCAGGACAGCCGCCCGGCCAGGGCCGTGCGTCACTTCCGGGACACGCACCGCTCGGCGGGGAAAATAATCCCGGATCCTTTCGGCGCACACTTTTTCCTTGCGCCGCTACCTCCCAACCAATGAGAATGAAAGTTCTCGAGTGTCCCGCCCTCGTTCCAAAGTGATTGGCGTGCAGAGTAAAACTCTGGCCAATCATCATGAAGGACGCACGCGCTGATTAGCATAAGTGATTTCTCTGTATCTCTTCCCCACTGCAGAGTTCTGCTCGGGAATCTTCGACACTCACTTCTGAGGCTGGGGAACCCCTCGATGGCGGTGGAGAGGGTCGGCCCGCGCGGCGACCCGGCTCGCGGGCCGGCCGGAGCCGAGGTGGGTGGGGGCGCCACGCGCAGCCTCGCTATTCGCGGCCGGAAGCTGCGGCCCTGGGCCCCGCCCGTTGCGGGCGGGGTGCGAGGAGGCGTTAACGTCCAACGGCTTCGCGCCAGTCCAGCAGCGCCTCGCAGTGGGGAAGGGGTTTCTTGGGGTCCCGAGTGGGCTTGAGGTGAAGGCTGGGGCTGACTGGATAGACGTCCACCCCGAACTCTTAGGTTTTGATCATTTAGCTGGTCCTCGGCTGGTTTTAGTCCTCACGCTCCGCGTTTGACTTGAGGAAGCCGAACCCACCCAAGAAAGGAATTTACTTCCCTGGGTCACAAAATCTTTGAGTGGTACAGTCAGGACTAGCGAATGTTTTGCTTGGATCTGAGATGAGCGAGTGTGCTTTTCTGCCACACCTACCTGAAAGCCTCGAGTCTGACAAGGGTTTGGGGGGAGATGCTCCCATGAAACAATGAGCAGGAAAAACCCGAAGACACCTAACAGTTTCGGCCAGAGAGAAAACCTAAATGCGTTCAACAGATAACGTGTTTGCGACGAATAAAAAGGGGTTCAGTTTTACGGATGGGGATTAACTGCCCCTAAATCGCAGCCTTACACAAAACGGAAGCCTTTGGCGTTACAAAGGGTAACTTCCTTAGCCTGTCCCTTTTCCTACACCAGTGCTAGCTAATTGGCTTTATTTTCTGCGCCTTTTCTCAATGATCTCTTCAACCCAGGAACTCAACGCCTAAGAGAAGAACCCAAATTGAGATGAAGGCGCAGGGGCACTCAGCGAGCCACTTGACAGTGTGTGGGGCACATACTGCTAACATGAGCATCTCATTTGTCTTAGCAAAATTACCCACTGCGACGTGTGCTGATTTGGGGTGTTCACCCAAGTAACTGGGACCAAATATGTTAAATTTCTGATTCCGCCAGGTCTTCTGCATGATTTAGGGATTGACTTGAGGTGAAAAAAAATAAAGTCTAAAAGTAACTATGGATTCAGTACTAAACACAAGGAGTGTTCAGCTACTGATTATGGAAGAATGCATCTCCCTAGGTTATGAGAATAGGTACACATCTCTGGATCTGTGTTTTCCACAATCCTAATTTAGTCCCACTCTTCGCTCCCACTCCCCATTCTACCGTGTTAAATCAGTCTCTACAAAGGGTGTGATGATGAGCACAGAAACGGTAGACATGGATAGCAAATCACTATGTAAAACTGGGATAAAAGGAACAGATGTTAATATCTTGTGGTCAAAGGTCAGAAAGTTTCAGCTCCTCAGAAATCAAAAATATTTTCGGTATTCACTTACGTATCAGAGGTCCCAACAGCACATCTGAGAAGGGAAAGGCCAACACTGTTTGAATTCAGGTGACTAATAAGTGTACTAGTTTTTGGCGCCGGCACCCTGGGTTCTAGTCCCGGTCAGGGCGCCGGATTCTGTCCTGGTTGCCCCTCTTCCAGGCTAGCTCTCTGCTGTGGCCAGGGAGTGCAGTGGAGGATGGCCCAAGTGCTTGGGCCCTGCACCCCATGGGAGACCAGGAGAAGCACCTGGCTCCTGCCTTCGGATCAGTGCGGTGCGCCAGCCGTGGTGGCCATTGGAGGGTGAACCAACGGCAAAGGAAGACCTTTCTCTCTGTCTCTCTCACTGTCCACTCTGCCTGTCCAAAATAATAAATAAATAAATAAGTGTACTAGTTTTAAAGGATGATAATCTGAGACTTAAACACTGCAGTCTCTTGCCCCAAACTCTATGCCCGAAACTCACAGAACCCGATCCCTGACTGCTGTGGAGAGGACAAGAATAAACTGACACATGACTGACTCAACCAAAACTGACTTTGCTGGAAAAAAAAGTGCACCCCACATTACTGTTTTTCCAGTGTACCTCATCTTACCTCAGCCAACTAGAAAAGTTAGTAAATGCGGAAGCTTTCATACTTGTTCCCTCTATAAGTCTCCAGAGATTCATGGCTAATGATATTTGGGGACAGGAGGAAGGTACACTATGCATGGTAATTAAAAATCTTATTAGAACATCTTTCCAGATATCTTACCAGAGTCACTGATAGAATTCTCTCAAAAATTTTAAGGATTGAGTGCTTTAGCTACTACTCTATTTGAAGGTCCTACAAATATTTCCCTTGCCTTTGGCCTCAGCTTATTAAACTCTCTGACCTTTAAGATACAAAAACAAGACAATTATTCTTAAACTTGGCCTGCTGGTTATTTTCAAAACTCTGGTGGGGTGGGGAAGTGAGCATTTGGCACATTGGTTGATTCCCACATTGAGTACCTGGATTGTAGTCCCAGCTTTGCTCTTGGTTCCAGCTCCCTGCAAATGCACACATGGGTAGGCAACAGGTGAGGGTTCAAGTGGTTGAGTCCCTGCCACCCACGTGGAAGACCAGGATTAAATTCCAGGCTCCTGGCTTCAGCCTGGCCCAGCCTGGCTCTTGTGGGCATTTGGGAAATGAACCATCAGATGGGAGATTGCTGTCTCCCCTATTCAAATAAATAAATAAATGAAGATAAAATGAGAAGGCAAGATTTTATTTTTACTTCATAGTAAGTTGAAGGTAAAATTAAATTTTTTAAAATTTGTCTTAAAAATAGAAAGGGGTGGGCATTCAGTTTAGTAAAGACACTTGCACCGCATGTCAGAGGACCTGGATTTGAAGGGCCCAGCTCCCATGGCTTCCTGCTAACGCAGACCCTGGAATACAGTAGTGATAGCTCAAATGATTGGGTTCCTGTCACCCATGTAAGGGACCGTGGATTTAGTTCCCAACTCCCAGAATCCATTAAGGACTTTTGGGGAGTAAACCAGCTTATCTATATCTCTAGACCTCTTAAAGTAGAAGTGGGGCCAGCACTGTGGCACAGTGGGTTAAGCTGCAGCCTGCAACGCCAGCATCTCATATGGGTGCCAGTTCAAGACCAGCTACTCCACTTCCCAAACAGCTCCGTATCAATGTGCCTAGTAAGGCAGTGGAGGATGGCCCATGTTCTTGGGCCTGTACCCACTTGGGAGACCTGGATGAAGCTCCTGGCTCCTGGCCTTTCCCCAGCCATTGTGGCTACTTGGGAGTGAACCAGCGGCTGGAAGACCTCTCTGTCTCTCCTTCTCTTTCTCTGTAACTGCCCTGCAAATCTTTTTAAGTGGAAGATAAAAAGAGCCATCAACTATAATATTTTGCCATCTGCATCTCTTAAGTGATGAGGAAATAAACCATCATTTTTAAATGCTGACATGGAAATAGTTTAAGGGACAGTTATAAATTGATCAAAAGAGACATGGGGTGGTCAGAGAATGAGTTTTGAAAGTAAAATAGAAGCAGATAGTAGAATGGGAAGGCAGGAGCTATTTCTCCCATTGCTAGCCAAGTGGCCTTAGTCAACTCAAATTCTAAATCTATTAGCCAAGTTAGGACAATAATACTGACAGCACTACAGAAATGAGGTACAGGAGCCCATGTCTTGTCCTAGTGGGTTAAGTCACTGCCTCCAACACCAGTATCCCATATTGATACCGATTCAAGTCCCAGCTGCTCCACTATTGATCCAGCTCCCTGCTTATGGCTTGGGAAAAGTACTGAAAGATGGCCCAAGTGTTTGGGCCCCTGCTACCCTCATGGAAGTCCCAGATGAAGCTCCTGGCTTCAGCCTGGCCCAGCCCGGGCCATTGTAGCCATTTAGGAAATTAACCAGCAGATGGAAACTTTCAGTCTCTGAGTCTCTTCTCTGTGTAAGGCCTTCAAATAAGTGTTAAGAAACAAAAAGAACTGAGGTACAGAGGGTTAGCTTGAGGTTTTGACTGTGGGAAGAGATTTCAACATATTAGCACATATTTATGTATGGAGCTTCTAATCCAAATCTTTGGAATGGCTTTTTATATGTTTAACCTTGGGAGGGGGTCACTCCCTCTTTAGTCAATTACCTTGATTCAAGGGACAGGGGAGAGGGCTGCTGAATGACAACAGCTGTGCCAGAAGAGGGCACCATTACCCAAGAATGTTTGGAAGCTACACGTGCTACAGAGGGCAAAGTGCTAAGGTTTCAAAAACTTTAAGGTTTCTTAGAGGCCAGCAAGGTAGCCATAAGCTTGTCTTTGGCTTACTCATTCTCATTTTATATCTCTCTTCTCTATCCCTTAGACAATACCCATTCTCCTAAACCACAGTGGTTCCCAATTTTTCACTGCTATGGGTTCTTTCCATTGTTTTTCCTCATGGTTCCCATTATTTTTCCTAATGGATCTGACACTTTGAAACATTTTGCCTGCTAAATTGCATTTAATAATGATTGACACATGGTCATTCTTCTAATCTATGAATAAAACACAAATGCAGATTAATGGTATCCTACCAGTATGAGATAAATGTTGCATTACTGAGCTGGTGCAGTTTTAACCACTGGCAAAAAACAACAACAAAACCCTGATGTTTTAGATAGTCAGGACTTGGGCAAAGAAAATGACAATTTTTACGGGAATGTTTGAAATACTGAAAATAGCTTACAGAGAACCCAGCTATTCTGAGGATTCCTAGAGTCTGAGATCCCAAATGAGAGAAGATGAATGGTGCCATGTTATATGTCAACAGTAAACCTATTCTTGGTTTAT